TTCTTAGCCTTACTTTCTTTAATTATTGCAAAATTTCAGAATAATTCAATGTTCTATTAGATGGAAGTGAAGGTGGGTGGAAAGCATTCACCCATGCACAGCAAAAGTGCTCCTGAAATGCCACTTAGGACTACAAGAACCAGAACTGGCAGGCAAGAACTGGAGGAGAGTTCCTTTCAGGTCTGGTATAAAGTCCTTCTAAAAACTAAAATATGGAAACCCTGCAGGGTCCACCTTGCTTTTCACTCTCTCTCCGTTTCATGTTGATGAATATGTACCAGACTGTCAGCACAACACGAGCAGGATGGCATTCCTACCCCCAGAACATGTTATTTGCATGAGAGGGGCATTGTCTTCTTTATGTGTCATGGAACCTGTGACTTGTCATGTGTGATTATCATGTCAGTTTATTAACATGTGAAGGAGCACAATTCCCGGCTTCCACCTCACAGGAACAATTGCTTGGGAGGAGAGGAGGCAAACTGCCAGCCAGATGAGGCAGAATTCTGCCAGCTTCCAGTGCCAGGGAAACCCTGGGTAGTAATCAATACCAAACCTAACTGTTAATAGGACCACCCAAAGGCACATGGCTGGGAACCAAACCTCCTTCCTACCTTGATCTGAACTCTTGGCAAGTTTCCTTGCTAGACCCAGCTTTGCTCCCACTTACTTGGGGGAGAAAGTAAAAAACAGGAGTTATTTTAGAGGAAGCAGGACAGAAGGAATGGTTGGGAAGCCACTCCCAGATGCTGAAAGGGTTATGAAGAAGAGGATTCTGATTGGTTACATCACCCAGGGCCTCAAACTTTAATAAATACTGATTGATGGATGGATGCAAGTCAAAGCTAAGGCCAAATAAAGGCCTACACATATTGAGAGACTTTGAGTCAGAAATGCTTTTTCCAAGTCACATGGGGAAAGCCTAGCAGTGATTAAGGAACTACAGAGGCGGCAGCGGTCTATTCTCCTCTGGGGCCTTCCAAGTTCCCAGGCCAAGCCAGCCGCCGGTTCAGGAGATGGGATGTGCTTCTCCAAGTCTCCTCTTCTGACATCTTTCTGCCAGATGGTCGTTAGAATTCTCGAGGTGTTCGGCCTCCTGGCTCCTGCAACCTGAGCCAAGCCCAGAGAACTCTGGTCTACCAACTTCCCGTGCTCCACCCCTCTATGAGCAGGGCCTGGAGCCTGGGCATCTGAAGAGGCTGGACGCGCGACCGTAGGCGGCCCTGGCTGGCCTTGGGCGTCCTGGGCAGAATAGGGGTGCCGGCTCAGAGAGCCCTGGAGCACTTTCCCCGTCCCGGAGCGCGGCTTTGGCGGTTTACGGGGTAAATGACTCTCTGCTCTGTCTTGAATTTCCCGGTAGTGTTATCCTGATGTTTTAAAATTACAATCCAGACTTTCAACAAATTACAAATGTTGTGTGTAAACATAATCAGAGTGTGGACCCAATCCATTCGTAATTACTAATAGAAAAAAAAGGGGGGGGAGTGGAGGGGAGAAAACACACACAAAGACTTAACTGAGCAAGAAAAAAAGGGGGGAGCAATTCTGCAGGGTGTTTGCCTTAATGATTTGCTCCCCAGGGACTCCCCCAAAGCCTCCCGGCTGCCAGCCCTGCCTGCCGACCCCTCGCGGTGCTTGGTCCCTGCACTGAGACCTGCGGAGTGTCCCAGGACAGGGCAGCCTCTCCCGAGTGGCGAAGGGTCCCTCAAGCGCTCCACGATCCGGGAGGGCGGGAACCGGCCCTGCGCCTGGCTCGCCCTCCCCGGGAACCGCGACTCGTGGCGCCGGCTGCGTCCTTTCCCTGAGCCCCTGGGACTCTTCCCGAGTCCAGATCCGAGGACTCGAGTGCCCTGCACCCCACAGTCCTCAAAGGCACCCCCTTTCCCAGAGTGAGCTCCGGGCTTCGGGCTTCCAGTGAGGTGGAGGGAGCGGCGCTGCCGGGGCTGGACAAGTCCGCGGAGTCGGCAGGCACTGGAGCTCTCGGTCAGAGACATTTGGGGGATAGAAATTTGTATTATACGTGTATCCTGTATATCATACATACATGTGGGTATTCATTCCGTCGACAAACTTTTAGCAAACTCGTCAGGCGTTTTTGTTGAAAACCTCAGCACCCTGGTTGGTATCGGCAGGATTGGTTGTTTTTTTTTTTAACACGAATGGCAAGTGGGTGACTCTCAGGAGGCGCCCGGTTCCTAGAGAACACGCTAGATATAAGTGGAGACGTCTGACCGCGTCCAGACGCCCATCCGCGGACACCCTTCCCGTGGCTGCTCCGAGCTCCTCACCCGTGTGTCGGCACACGGACAGGGAGACGTCCTCGGAGGGGCGATCTCACCCCAACCGACCGACGTCTCGGGGATGCCAGAGCGCCCCGACCTTGGTCACGAAGGACAACCTGGTCTGTGTAGGGGGGAAAAAGGCAACGTTAAATAGCAACTGTGTTCATGAGGATGGAGGATTCAAAACGGGAGGCCCGACCCCCTCAGGGACCAGGCGCAGCTACGCAGAAGGGCACGGGGAAGATCCTTCCACCCAGGCACACCGAGCAGGACGCCGGGTGGGGGGCTCTGTGCGGGGCAGCAGATGGCACGACGCGTGCGGCGCCCTGCGAAGGCAGCAGGGGCGGAAGGCCCACTCCGCGGGGCTCACCCGAGTGCACGCCGCCCCCCACGCGCGCGTCCCCAGCCCGGGCTCCGACGCGCACAGATGTTAACTGCTGCGGGCAGCGCCGCTGGGGACCGAGCCACTCGTGCGGCGCACCGCGCGGCGCTGGCGGGGCTCTGGGCTCCCGGGCAGGGGTTCGAGCGGCCCTGGGGTGGGAGTGGGAGGGGGCCAAGGGTGGAAAGAGGAGGGGGGAGTGGGTGGACTAATGATGAAAAAGTCTCCTGCATCCCGGCTCCGGCTCCTTAATTAAATGCATGGAAAGAACCGAGGCGAGCACATCTGGTTTCAATCTGCAGTCCTTTGATGGCATCAAATGTTCTTTTCCCAGATCAGGGCTGGAAGTTCTGGGCTAACTATGGCCGTTTGGAGCCCAGAAACCATTTACACACACTCGGACCCTTCTTTCTCTCCAGTGGAGCCTCTCGGCTATAGGAGGAAAAAAAAAAAAAAAAAAAAGGCTAG